TCATCAGAAAAGCCTTTTCTGATGAAGGGTCTAGGCCCGAAACGTCAGCCTCTCTGCTCCTATGATGCTGCTTGGCCTGCTGTGTTCATCCAGCCCTGCACCTTGTTGTCTCGGATTCTCCAGCATCTGCAGTTCCTACTATCTCTGATCCAAGATACAAGGGTTAGCTCCCCAGTCCTTCCTCAGAATATCACTGGGACCTTTTTTAACATCCACCTGAATGGGTAGATTGCTTCACTTTAATAACTCATCAGAAAAGCAGCATTTTCCAGTCTGTCCAATCCGTCTCTTTAACCTGAGATAACTGTTTTTTCCCTCCCCTGTACCTGGTGACTCTCTGATTCCTTCCTCCCTTCCCTGTACTCCAGGGGTGGCACGGTGAATCAGTGATTAGCACTGCTGCCTCAGTGCCAGGGAACCAGGTTTGATTCTAGCTTTGTGCAAACCCCGCACAGTCGCCCATTCTGCCCGTGTCTGCGTGGGTTTCCTGTCAGTCCAAAGATGTGCAGGTTAGGTGGATTGGCCATGCTAAATTGTCCATAGTGTCCAGGGATGTGTAGGCTAGGTGGGTTAGCCATGCCAAATGCAGGGTTACAGGGATAGGGTAAGGCCGTGGGTCTGGTTGGGATGCCCTTTGGAGGGTCAGTGTAAACTTGTTTTTACACTGTAGGCATTCTATGATTCCATCTCACTGCTGTCTGATCCTTCTCTCCTTTTAACCTTGAGATTATCTTGTTTAGTTGTTTGTCAAATTTGTGTTTAACATGTCCCTGACCTAAATGCAAGGAAACGGAACTTCCAGTCAAGCAACTCATCACCTGATTACAACTTGTAGGAACCTTGGATTGATTCTAGCTGGAGCGTGACCCAGTCTCCACTTCTCCTTTCTAAAAGTGCAGAATTATCTGGGTCTCTGATTTAATAGTTTAGCAATGATGCCTTTAAGCCATTGCCTAGTGGTTTTGCCATTGCATCTCCTTAATCTCATCTCATCTCAATGTAGTTTAGCTTACAATTGACCTTTCTCAGTAAAAGCTGTACGAAAACCTGCCTATCTATTTCCATGACTATTCTCAATCTAACTAAATTTTGGTCACTTCTGTTAAAATTCTCTACTGGTGATACTACTCCATCCTGTGCAGTTTTGATTTCTTAAAACAAAGTCCAGAACCGCCCTATGTCTTGTTGGGCTTGCTACATAATAGACTTGGAAAAAAAAAGTCCTCCTGAATGTATTTGAAGAATTCTACATCCTCTAACTTTCATTTTACTCCTGTTAATATTGGAGTAGTTGAAATCTCCACTATCAAAGAGTTGTTGTCTACATGTTTGTTGTTCTATCATATTCTGACTGTTTCAGAGTCTGACACACCCCAAGCATCTCAAAAACTGTAATCAGGAGAGTAGATAATTAGTAGTAGCCAATTCAGTCCTTAAGCCACGTTTTGGCCGTAGCTATGAGGTCATAACTTCCAAGTTCCGATCTATGTTTTCAGCTCATTTTTATTTGCTAATCTCGTGTTGAAATAAATAAGTCATTATTTAATGACTGATTATTTTCCAGCCATTGTTTTCCCTACTTTAGGTTTTTACTTACAATTTTCCTCCCTTTTCTATTTTCAGTTTTGTTTCTCTTCCTGTAATCAATGCCTGGTTTCTATCCCTCCTGCCAAGCTAGTTTAAACCCCCTTCAATGACACTAGCAAACTCACCTTTCCAGGATACTGGTCCTGGCCCTGTTGAAGTGCTTCCTTTCTGGCTTGTGCAGGTCCCAACATTGTAGAAGTGATCTCAAAGTCCCCTGGATTGCAAATGTGCCTACTGCAGCAATTGTCCAGACAATTGTCTGTTCAGTCATCCTGTTTTTATTCAAGAGTGTATCACATTTGAAATATTTCTGAAGAAAAAAATTTCTACCTTCTTAAAGTCCTGCTTGTCTGGCTCATTCCTAACTCTCTGGAATCTGCCTGCAGAACCTCCACCCTCTTGCTGTCATCATGTGACTGTTTACCCTTCCCACGCTGCAGCTACTCCATCGTGGATGGAAATAATGGAGTAAGAGGGCAGAGGACAGTAAAGCAAAGTGAATTTAGAGGCTATGAATTTAGGTGGAAGATTTATAAAATGTTTTTAACATTTCATTTCCCTACCAGGTAAACCTGACCTTTAAACAGCCAGGCAAGCGTTTGGAGCACAAAGGAATTCGGATTGAGTTTGTTGGGCAGATTGGTGAGTTGGTGACATGTTTCCATTCATCTCATAGAGATATTTTCTACAGATATAAGCATAGATATTTTCTAATTCAACCTTTCAGAGATACTACTACTCACCTCTGGAACAGGTAGGACTTGAATGCAGGCCTCCTAGTTTGTAGTAGGAATGTTACCACTACTCCACAAAAGCCCTTTGTTCCAAACTAGTACTCACCCGAAACATCAGCTTTCCTGCTCCTCTGATGCTGCTTGGCCTGCTGTGTTCATCCAGCTCTACACCTCGTTATCTCTAGTACTCTCTGCTGTTTGGTTTCACTGGAGAATGGTGATAGTAGTGTGATGTGATCTGAATGTGTAGCTGTGACCAGGGCCTTGTTCCTTTTAGCACCACATTGCCAGATGGCTTTATCTGGATTGAAGAAAGAGGAACAGAGTCTTGCGCTAGTAACTTTATTTTTAGACTGTAGATCCAGCAATCATGTGTCATTCTTCCTGTTCAACCACAACAGGCCTGAGACTAGGACATTGCACTGGCTGGATAATTGTCCTGGAGAAGGTGGGAATGAGCACCACTCAATTTGCTGCACCCTATGTGATGTACGGACACCTGCAGTGCTGTTAGGGATGGCGTTCCAGGATTTTCCAGCCTGTAAAATTGAAGTGTACTGGAATGGGGATAATGTACTGACATTAGAAGCAGACGGGAAACAAAGACAAGGAACGAACAGGTCTTTTTTTGAGTGATGGACAGTGACTAGTGGGATACTGTAGGGATTGGTGCTTGGACTTTCAGAACTCTAACAGGACTAGATAGTTATTGCAGGAGGATGATGCTGATGACCGGGAGTCTCGAACTGGGGTCACTGTTTATGAATGCGTGGTAGGCCATTTAGGACAGTTGGACGTGGAGAAATTTCTTCACCCTGTAGAATTCTGTCACGGAAAGTCGTTGAAGCTGAAACATAGTTCTTACGATTAAAGAAATCAAAGGGTATAGGGATAAAGCAAGGGCAGGGTACTGAGTTGGATGATCAGCCATGATCCTATTGAATGGCAAAGCAGGCTCAAAAGGCTGAATGACCAACTTCTCTTATTTTCTATGTTGACCTGGTGACAATGAATGAACGGCGATACATACTTCTGCGTTGGGATAGTGTGTGACTTAGAAACTTGCAGGTGTTTCCATGAATCTTGTGCTTCTAGGTAGGTTGTCAGGTTTGCAAGGTGCTGTTGAAGGAGTCTTGGTGAGTTGCTACAGTGCATCTTGAAAATGGTACACACTGCTACCACTGTGCTTCGGTGGAGGGAATGATTGTTGAAGGTAGTTGATGGGATGCCAATCAAGTGAACTAATTTGTCCTGGATGCTCTTAGACTTCAAGTGTTGTTGCAGTTATATTCATCCAGGCAAGTAGGGAGTATTTCATTACAAACCTGACTTGTCCTTATAGAAAGTGGAGTTAGATAGTGAGTTAGTTGCTTCAGAATTCTCAGCCTCTAACCTGCTCTTGTATCCACTACTTATATGGCTGGTTCAGTTCAGTTTCTGGTCAGTGGTAACCACTAGAATATTGATATAGGGGATTCAGGGATAGCAATGCCATTGAATGTCAAGGAGTGATGGTTGGATTCCCACTTATTGGTGACTGGTTCATAGAATGGTCATAGCCTAAAAAGAGTAGATATGTTTTGTACGGCAACCAGGCGTCAAGAATTGCTTTGATGTGATACCTAAACCATTGATGACCCCTTACTTTGTTTGTTGTCATCTTCATTCTTAAACTCCAACTTGTTCATTTTAAACCCTGTCTTCTCTATTTTTGGGTTGAGCTGATTTATTTTCTAAACACATAAACTAAGACTCATTTCCCGGGAATCCAGGTTGAATGGCTTTGACTGTCCTTTATCCCTTCTGTGTTCCAGAACTGTTCAGTGATAAGAGCAACACACATGAGTTTGTGAACCTGGTGAAGGAGCTGGCTTTGCCTGGAGAACTGACACAGAGCAGAACCTATGAATTTGAATTCATGCAGGTGGAAAAGCCATACGAGTCATATATTGGAGCCAATGTCAGACTGAGGTAATTGTTTCCAATGCAGCTAAACAATTTTAGATTTATTTGAATTTTCTCTCACTCCCCTGCGTCCCCCCAAAATAAAAAGAAAACTGGATTGCCTGCGTTGCATCAATCATTTTGTGAGGAACAGTCTGCACTGAGTTTTACCAGATGTGACAACTGATCTTTTGAGGAGGAATCAGAGCTGAACCCTATCCTCTCCCTGCAAAGTTCTAGCCAGTATCACTGGATGATTATCATTGGGATTGATAGATGTTTTTCTCCTTTCTTTCAGGCCTGTCTGTCTTGCTGCACCCAATCTGTTTCCTCAACTTGCCTCACTCATTAGTTCCAATTGTGTAGGACCTGGGTTGAGAGCAGCTAACATCGTAGATCAGGCAGCCAGTGAGACACATTGGGAGAGCAGCTGGGGTGTCCATCTGCCTGAGAGTGACATTCCTATCAACTGTGTTAATGATGGGCTTGGGGTAGGTTACACTGTTGACTGGATGGAGTTGAACTGATGGATCTTTTTATCAAACTCTGTTAAGGCGTGTATGGTGACTTCAGGGGATTGGAAAGTTGTTTGGCATTCATGTTTGATGTATCAGTGCGAATTATAATGAAGAGTTGGCTATTTGGTAGCTGTGTGGATAAATACTTTTCTCATGGAGATGCTGGAGGATATTACCCATCTTTAATGTCCTATTTCTATAAATCAAATCATAAAGAATGCTCTCTGGTAATAGCTGTGCTCCTTTCACTTGTAATTACAAAAAATTGCATTTACACATTGCCTTTAATCCATTATCATAATATAGAATCATAGAATCCCTACAGTGTGCAAGCAGGCCATTCAGCCTGTCGAATTGGCCAGCCCTCCAAAGAGCATTCCACCAAGATCCTCCCACCCCCCTGTCCTTGTAGCTATGCATTTCCCATGGCTAGTCCACCTAACCTGCACATTCCTGGAGACTATGGGTAATTTAGCATGGCCAGTTCACCTTACATGCACCTATTTGGACTGTGGGAGTTAACCCAGAAGAAACCCTTGCAGACACAGGGAGAATGCGCACACTCCACTTAGTTGCCCAAGTGTGAAGTTGAACCTGGGTCCCTGGTGCTGTGAGGCAGCAGTGCTAATCACTGAGCCACCATGCTGCCCATCATATCCCAAGGTACTTTGCAGACACTTCATCAAACAAGCTTTGAAGATTGCTCCCATCACCTTAAAGGAGGGAAATGAGGGAGAGGTTTAGGAAGAGACTCGAGCCTGTGTCCCTAAACATAAGGGTGATGGAGCAATTAAAATCAGGATAGCCAAGAACAAGACTTGATGCAGTGTCGCAGTTTCAGGCTGTTGTAGGGCTAGTGAAGATTAAAGAGAGAGGCAGGGGTGAGGCCGTTTAAAGATTTGAAAAAATGAATGAGAGTTTTACAATCAAGTTGCTCTTCTGAAAGGCAAATAAGACTGAAATACAAATAGGAAACTGTTCGGCCTCTTGAACCTGTTTTTCCATTCAATACGATCATGCTGATCTGACATTCCTCGCATCCGCTTTCCGGAGATTTCCCTATAACTCGATGCCTGTACTTGATCAAGAATCTATCTATCTCTGCCTTAAATTTACACACAAACCTCTGTGACAAGGAGTTCAAAAAACTTTCAACTCTGAGAGAAGAAGTTCCTTCTCATCTCGGCCTTCACCCTGAAACTGTGCTGTCTGGTCCTATACTTCCTCAAGTGGTGAAGCATCCTCTCAGCATTTACCCTGTTAACCCCCTTAACAATCCTATATGTTTTAATGTGATCACCTCTCATTCTTCTAAATTCCAATGAGTGAAGTCCCAATCTGTTTAACCTTTGGTCAGAAGACAAATTCTCCATACCAGGCTTCAACTTAGTGAACCTTCTCTGAACTGCCACCCATGAAATGATAGCTTTTCCTTAAATAAGAGACCAAACTGTTTGTACTATGTGGATGTGATCTCACCAGCACCTTTTATGGTTGCCCTTAAAATTCAACACCCTTGAAATAAGAAGGCCAACATTCCATTAGCCCCTCTGATTACTTGCTTTACCTGTTTCGTGTATAAGTCCTTTTGTGTTCCAACTTTCTGCAGTTTTTATCAATTTAAAGAATTGTTCTTTTGTTCTCCCTTTCACACTAAACAACTTCACATTTTCCCACATTATACTCCATTTGCCAACTTTTTGCCCATTTACTTAACCTATCAATATCTCTCTCAACTGTTTGTATTCCTCTTGCAACTTGCTAGCTCTACCATTCAATTTGATCAAGCCAGATCATTGAGTTCAATTCCCTAATCACACCCACCTCCCATATCCCTTGGTCCCTTTACAAACAATGAAATCAGAGAGAGACTGAGAATGCATATGAGAGAGAGAGGTCGTGAGATAGGTTACCAACAAGAAAAAGAGCTCCTCTTCCGCACTTACTGTTTCCTGCCCATTAACTGAATCTCTCAATATGCTACCTTCAATGCCATAAACTATTACCTTATGAATTAATCTTCTGTGAGGTACTTTGGTGATCTTCTAGAAGTCCAAATACATCTTCTGGTTTTCTCCATCCACTCTAATTGAGACTTGCTTCGAAAAATAAATTGGTCAGACACAATTTTGCTCTCGTGAAGCCATACTGACTCTGCTTAATTACATTATGATCCAAATGTCCTGCTTTAATTGCTTAATAATTGATTCCAATACTATTCCAATAGATTTTAGGTTAATCGGCCTATAATTACCTGTTTTCTGCCTGCCTCCCCTTTTGAAATTAAGGGTGTCATATTGTCAGTTTTTCAATCCTCTGCTACTTTTCTAGAATCCAAGGATTTTTCGAAAGTTACAACCAATACATCCACTAGCTCTGTAGCTACTACTTTTAGGATCCTAGGATGTAAGCCACGGGGTCAGGGGACTTACCTGCTTTTAGTCCCATTAGTTTGTATAATACTACTACTCTAGTGATGATGGTATTGTATTCCTCCCCCATATTCTTATATGTTAATGGGATGTTTGTGTTATCTTAAAGGCTGATGCAAAATACCGCCATTTCCTTGTATCCCATAAATACTTCCTTAGATTAATTTTCTAAGGGGCCTACATTCACTTTGACATTTCTGTTTTTATATACTTAAAGACACTTTTTGTCAGTTTTTATATCCCTCACTTGTTTGCCTTTGTAGTTCACTTGTTCTCTTCAATTTTGTTTTGGTCCTCCTTTGCTCAATTTTGAATTTATCAAGTCTTTCAATCACTGACTTTTGCCTCCTTTTTTTGACTTTTTTCTTTCAACTTAATTTCCTTAACTTGATTAGCCATGATTGATTTATCTCTCTCCTTTCCTCTTTACTGACATGTTATTGTTGAGAGTGATGAATTACCTCAAATGTCTGTCACTGCTTGCTTACTGTCGTGCCTGCTAATATATCTGCCCAGTCTACTTTAGCTAACTTTATCCTCATTTCATTGTAATTTCCTTTTTTATTTAAGTTGAGCACAGTCGTATTTGACTGAAGTTGCTCACTCTTAAACTGAATATTAAATTCATTGTGTTATGATCACGACATCCTGGAGAATTTTTTACTCTGAGGTAATTTATTAAACGTGCCTCATTACCAATTTCCAGATCCAAGAGAGTCTGGTGCCCAGTTGGCTCCATGACAAATTGCTGTAGGAAACTACCTTGAATGCACTTAGAGTTGTAGAGTAATACAGCATGGAAACAGGCCCTTCAGCCCAAACTGGTCCACGCTGACCATGGTGCTCACTCAGCTAGTTCCAATTGCCCACATTTGGTCCATACCCCTCTAATCCCTTCTCATCCATGTATCTATCCAAATGTTTTTAAATGTTGCTATTGTACCTGCCTCAACCACTTTCTGTGCAGCCCATTCCACATATGTACCACTCTATGCATGAAGAAGTTGCCCCTTGGGTTCTCCTTATATCTATCCCTTCTCACCTTAAACCTGTGCCCTTTAGTTTTCAATTCCTCATCCCTTGGAAAAAGACTATATGCTTTCATCCTATCTATGCCCTTCATGATTTTATACATCTTGATAATATCACCCCTCATTCTCCTATGTTCCAAGGAATAAAGTCCTATCCTTGCCAACCTCTCCCAATAACTCAGGCCTGCTAGTCCTGGCAACATCCTCGTAAATCTTCATTGCATGCTGTCCAGTTGAACTATGTCTTTCCTATAACAGGGTGACCAAAATTGTACACAATACTCCAAGTGCGGCCTCACCAACGACTTATACAACTGCAACATAACATCCCAACTCCTGCACTCAGTGCCTCAACCGATGAAAGCGAGCATGCTGCATACCTTCTTTACCACTCTGTCTACCTGTAACCCTGCTTTCAACAAACTATGTACTTGTACTCCTAGGTCCCTCTGTTCCACAACACTCCTCAGGACCTTGCCACTTACTGTACAAGTCCTACCTTGGTTTGATTTTCAAAAATGCAACACCTCACACTTACCTGTATTGATTTAATTTGCCAATCCTCAGCCCACTTCCCCAACTGATCAAGATCCCTTTGTAATTTTTGATAACCTTCCTTGCTATCAATAAAACCTCCTAATTTTGTTTTATCCGCAAACTTACTAATCATGCCTTGTACATTCGCATCCAGATCATTTACGTAAATAACAAATAACAAAGGTTCCAACACCGATCCCTGTGGCATACCAATAGCCACAGGCCCCCAGTCTGAGAAATAACCTTCAACCATCATCCTCTGCTTCCTACCATCAAGCCAATTTTGAATCCAATTAGCTAGCCTTCCCTGGAACCCATGCAACCTAACTTTCATGACTAGCCTGCTGTACGGGACTTTGTCAAGGTCCTTAAAGTCCATATAGACAACATTCACTGCCCTACCCTCATCCACCCTCTTGGTTACCTTTTCAAAAAACTCTTAAAAAGTTTGTCAGACACAACGTCCCCCGCAGAAATCCATGCTGACTATCCCTAATCCGACCTTGACT